TTGGGGGGGGGGGACAGAGAGAGACAGAGCATGAACGGGGGAGGGGCAGAGAGAGAGGGAGACACAGAATCGGAAACAGGCTCCAGGCTCCGAGCCATCAGCCCAGAGCCCGATGCGGGGCTCGAACTCCCGGACCGCGAGATCGTGACCTGGCTGAAGTCGGACGCTTAACTGACTGCGCCACCCAGGCGCCCCATCAACTAGGCACTTTTATCTGCGAGGTTCCATCGCTGTGAGGTGTGGGCAGGATTCAGGTGGTCTGGAATCTGGGGTCTCCCTCCCCCATCCCTGGCCCTCGTTGATCCCTTTCTCTGTGGTCCCCAGGTGCCTGGGAAGGCACACGCTGCTCACGCTTGTCCTCCCCTCCGTAGGTAAACACCCATCTGTCATATGCATATAGCTTAATGCGCAAGGATGTTCCATTTTCATCCTGATCGTTGCAGCCGAAGTTCTAGCTGACCCTCCTGTATCCCCAGTTCAACATACGTGCATATACACATGTGGATACATAGGGCAGCATGGTATCATGGAATGAATCCAAGAACACAGGTTTTGAATCTTGGCTCCACCCCTTACCAGCTCGGTGGCCTTGGGCATATTCCTTCACTTCTCTGAGCCTTGTACTCCTCCTCTGGAAAATGAGGATTTGGGAAGACCCACTTAATAGGGTCACTGAGATGTGCCAGTGGGGGCGTGGCACATAGAACCCTCAGAACATGGTGGCTCCCGTGCTTTCCCTGTCCCTCTCTGGTCGGCTCGTGGGATCATCATGTGGAATGCTGTGTGTCATTTCCCATTTTCCACAGGGCAGAGGAGGTCAAGCCTCCATGCCTGGGAGGAGAGGGACATTACCAAAAATAACCAGCCAGGAGGGTCTTGACTGTGGGGGGGGGGGGGGGGGGGGGGGGGGGGGGGGGGGGGGTGAGACCTAGCCCAGGGGCAGCTCCAGAGGAGCCAGAGAGAGCCCAGAGGGGGTCAGAGGGCATGGGGCTGTTTACCAAACAGGCTGAAAGATGATTCATTTCCGCTGCTTAAGATGAAAAAAGAGACAGAAATAAATCTCCCAAGAGACAGATGGGAAAGGCAACCTAAGACAGGAAGGCAAGAGGAGGGGGGAGGTAGGGGGGCAAAGACAGGACAGGGCAAGGACATCATTTCTCTGCTGCCCAGTGCCAAGGCAACACACCAAGCCCTCCTAGATTATGCACCTTTGAATATTCCTTCCCCACAACACCAGGAAAAACACAGCATCTCCTTCCTGGTGAGGAGCCAGAGATTGAGAGATTCCTTTTGTTTGCCCTCCACCTGTCCTTATTTCTGGAGGTTTCCATTATACAGAATTCCAAGCCTTAAGGTCTTCAGGCACTAAATAAAAAATAAAAATAAAAATAAAAAGGTACTATTGTATTTTGTTTGTAATGGGTTTCTTTTATGGGGCAAGGTTAAGGTGATAATACTAATTAAGAATTACTGATTGTTTTACAGAGAGTTTCACACCATTTGGTCACATTTGAGTTCCATGACTGCCCTGAGGGCAGCGGGTTATCTATCCTCAGAGGAGTTAAGTTACCCAGGGTCAAAGAGCCAAAGGGACCAAATGGAGGTCAAAATAGAGGCCTCCTGGTGTCAGCCCAGGTTCTGTCACCAAATCCCACAGGTCAACCCTGCCCTCTTTCGTCTGGGTTTTGTTTTGTTCTGTTTTGTTTTTCACTTTTCAAAAAATTGTGGTAAAATCTCTATAACGTAAAATCGGCCCCTTTAGCCATTTTTAAGTGTACGATTTAGTGGCATTGAATACATTCACGATGCCACGCAACTATCACAACAGTTTCCACAACTATTTCATCACCACAAACAGAAATGCTACAGCCCACTCCGTGGGCATGGGACATGATCAGGGTTCAGCTCGGGCCTGTGTTCGGGAACCAGAGGCTGCTTTTAAGGGAAGAAGATAACTGTGCCAAAGGCTGTTGTGACTGGGATCAGGGGCCAGGCTGTGAGGGGCAGGGTGGGCTGAGGCAGCCTTCTTCGTGGGCTCAGTCCGTAGCAGCTGCAGAGGTGAGGGGGCAGTTCAGGCCCTGGGACCGAGTGTCCTCTGTAAACAAAGCTCCCAGGGTCCGCCAAGCACAAACATCAAGCCCTGCTCTCAGGGTCACTGTCTGTGGAGCGGAGTCCAGCCACCACAGGGGTTGGAAGAAAGCTTTCAACCACATTCCCAGCCCTGGACTTGGCTCCAGATCCCTGGGGAATGGATCGCAACCCCTTTGAAAATTTAAACAATTATGTTTACTAGATAGTTTTTTTGAACTCTAATTACAGGAAATTTGGAAAATACAATAAAGAAGGAAGAAAACGGCACCTACAATTATGACCACCATTTATTCAGAGATGAGTGTATGTCAGACATTATTGCATTTAATCTTAAATACAACCCTGAAGTCTGAACTATTTTTATGTCCATTTTATAGTCGAGGCAACGGAGGCCCCAGACAAAGTAAATTTACTACTCAGGTTACACAACTGAGATGATGCATACTGGACGGTACATAGTATGGGAGCTGGGATTTGAATCCAAGTCTGCCTTGGACCCCTTTCATCAATATATTTGGTTGATGGTATGAAGTAGACTTACAAAAGTTGGGGTGCCTGTTTGGCTCAGTTGTGTGAGCATCCCACTCTTGATTTCGGCTCCAGTCACGATCTCATCGTTGGTGAGATGGAGCCCCTCATTGGCATGGAGCCTGCTTGGGATTCTCTCTCTCCCTCTCTCCCCTTCCTCTCTGCCCC